GGATCAAGGCATATTCAGACACGGCCCCAAATAAGCGACCAGATCGACTCCTTCTAAAAGGGGGACTGAATCTGGCCGCTGGTTTTGCTATTTTGCAATTATAAGGGTCTCGTGTGAATATACTCTCAAAAGCTATATTTACTTGTAATTTGTAATCATTAAAATCCCCGGTATTTTCGTAATTTGACTTTTTTTTTAAATTCAAATTTAGTTTGCAAGCAGTCAGCCGCCTAGAGGAAGCTCCCAAGTCTCAACTCTGCCTGTCTTCTGTCGAGGCTCCATCTATTGGTGGGGACCACCACCTTCGATTATCGCCGCCTTAGCCGGACAACTATCCCATGCTTCGATCGGATGAGCTGTTTGATCGTCTAACAGGCAACTGTTTCTTCACGAAAATCGATCTTCGTAGTGGCTATCACCAGATCCGCGTTGTTGCAGAAAACCAGCCGAAGACCGCTTTTCGCTCGCGCTTCGGCCACTATGAGTTCATGGTGATGCCATTTGGCCTCACCAATGCATCTGCCATCTTCCAAATTGTGATGAACGATATCTTAAGGGACATCCTTGAAGAGTACGGGCTCCTACACCTGGACGACATCTTGGTCTACAGTCGTACCTTAGAAGATCATCTAAGACATCTCCGCACAAGCATGGCTTGTATGCGAAGCTTAGTAATTGCCGCTTTGCCCAACGCAAAGTGCACTTCCTATGACACCATGTGTCCGACCAGGGTCTCAGTATGGACGACGCATAGATCACTGCTATTGCGGAGTGGCCCGTCCGCACATCCGCCAAGCAACTTCGCAGTTTCCTCGGACTCACGAGTTACTACAGTAACTTTATCCGAGGATACGCTAGTTACTCTTACGTCCTCACCTCCACCCTACTCCGAAAGAACCCCCCATGGTTTTGGACACCTCTCAGCGACGATGTTTTTCGCGCCCTCAAGAAGGCAGAGACTTGTGTGCTAGTTCTTCGTCTCCCGATTTCGATCGATCCGTCATAGGCACCACCAATGCATCAAATTTTGCAGTAGGAGTACTTTCTCAGATGTTTCTCACTCCTCCCAATTCCCTTTATCCCCATGTTTCCCACCTTTCCCCCGCTTCCTGGTGACATTGCTTTTCGACTAACGCCTGTCCGTCTACCACTTCCCTACATTGATAGTCCTCCCTTCACTTACTCCCTGACCATTACGGAGGATGGGATTGTCGAGACTCGTGTCGGGGATTGCCTGATCGCCTTCTACTCCCGTCAGCTACTGCTTGATGAGATAAACTATATTGTCGATGGACGTGAGGTTCTTGCTGTAGTTTATGCTACCCGACACTGGCGTCATTATCTGCACGGGGCGCCCTTCACGGTACGCACAGACAACTCGGTTCTCCGTACTTTCCTCACGAAGCCCAAGTTTTTCCCTCGATAGGCACGTTGGTGGCGTGATTTATCCGAGTTCAGTTTCACCATTCAACCTAGTATCAAGGGTGAAACGAACCGCGTTGCCAATGCCTTGTCCCGCCGTCCTGACCACAATCAGGAACCCATCCAACTTGCTACCATCTCGGTCACCACCGTTGATCAGTCGGCGATCGATGCATATTGCACCCAGTACCGCCTCTACGCGGATTATCGCGACATACACGCGACAAGACTGTTCCTTCATATTTTCTCGGTGAGAATGGTCTCGTGTACTGGCATGGTAGATCTGGTCAGCCAGAACCACGTACCTTCGTTCCCTCCACTTGAGAGCTCCGTGTCCAGGGCGTAGTCGAGTTCTATGACCAGGCAGTCATCGATCATATGGGCTTTCACAAGACATTGGTCCGTGTTTGCTGCCTATACGTTTGGCCCGAGAACAAGGAATTCGTCAGGAGCTACGTTCATGAGTATCCTACCTGCTAGGAGGTGAACAGTGCGAACCACCTTCCGTATGGGTTACTCCAGCCTCTACCCATACTTGAGGGTCGTTGGCAGTCCATCTCGATGGATTTTGTTGGTTCCCTCCGCCCTCCCACTGAGCATGGTTATGATGCTATTGTGGTGGTCGTCGGTCACTTCATGAAGAGTGCACGTTTTGTCTCGTGCCGCTATTGCATTAGTGCTCGTGAGGTCGATGACATCGTCTTCGATCGAGTCATGAGAAATCATGGCTTACCTTAGAGCATCATCTCTGACTGTGACCCGCGCTTTACCAACATATTCTGGTGACGCATGCACGAGGTGTACGAATCTTAGTTTTGCTTCTCGTCGTCTTACCACCCTCAGACGGATGGTCGGATTGAGGTCACCAACAAAACTCTCGGTAATATCCTCCGACAGTTTATCAGGGATGACCAGTAGTGAGACTTACACTTAGCCCATGTGGAGATTGCGTACATCCACGTTGTTTCGCCAACCACGGGGATGTCACCATTCTATTATTACCTCGGCTGCCACTCTCGCATATCCGTGGATTTTCTGTGCCCATTGCTGTTGGGCTCGGACACTCGTTGTCTTGTGCTTGACGCCTGGATTGCACACATAACGCGATTATGAGGCGCGCACACGAGAGTCTAGCCGTCTCCCAGACTCACATGGTCGCATGAGCGAACCGATCGCGGACGAATCATTCATTCAAAGTCGATGACGATGTGCTCGTCAACGCACACCACTTGCAGCTCGAAGCGGATATGATTCGCAAGTTCAAACGTTGCTTCTTTGACCCATGCCGCATCCTTCAGGTCGCGGTTTTGATACTGCATGATCTAGGCAGCTTCCGTGTGAAGCTGCCTGATTACCTTTGGCACACTCACGTACATGATGTTTACCACGTCTCCTTGGTGCGGCCTTGTCGTAGACTGTCCGAGTGATTTGCCGAACGCTCTTACGAGCGCCCTCCACCTATCACGGTGGACGGTCACAGGGAGTTCGTCGTTTTTGACATTGTATCTCGCCGAGTTACCAATGATACCCTTCCACGCATCGAGTACCTTATGTGTTGGAAAGGGTATCCTGATGAGGAGACTAGTTGGGAGCCTCTGAAACACTTGGAGCAGACCTAGATTTTGGTGCGTGCATAGGATCGTGCTCTTCTTGTTGAGACGTTTGCTCCTACTCAACCGATTGACCCTCTTCCTCCTCCTCCGATTGGGGAAATTGTTGAGGACGAGCCGCTCTCTCTGAGACCGTTCTTCAGCAACAGACGTACCCCTCCGCGGATCCACAATGCACTCGTCGACGCCCTTGGCGTCTCGATGACTGACACTCTCACCACCTATCTATCTTGCCACTGACTCACACCCTCAGCTACCTTATCAACTTCAGCTACTTTGGACGTGATTACATCATGCCATCACCCTACTTTGCGCATTCGCTTGTATGTGTCGCATGATGTTCTCACTTAGGTGGTTCTCCATGAGTCAGGCTCTCCCTTGGTATCGCATATGCATTGGTACCGTAGCGTTATCTAGGCTTCCCTGCTCCCAGATCCGGCTTCCTCCCTAGTTGGTGAGTTGTGTGCATGTTTCTTTCACCCACTACGGCTACGATCCGGCGGGTGGATTGCGTGTGGGTCCAGATGTCCGGGTCCACTGTTGGGTCCAGATCTCCCCCCCCTCCCCACCCGCCCCCTTCTCCCAAGCCAAAAAAATAAAAATAAAAGGTATATTATGCAGCATTGCAATCCAATAAATTAATATTTTCACTGAGGATCATCTAGAAATGTGTAGCCAAATCCAGTGAAGAAAAAGAAATGATTTTTTCCTGGGGGCCGGTGGGGGAGGGTGCCGAGGAGAGGAGGGGGGGGCTGGATCAATCCTAATGGTCCCGAGCAGTCCAGACATGGGACCGGCCATACTGCTGGATTGGTCTGGGGTTCGCGTCCGGTGTAGCCATGCTGCAGAAGTATCTCCTCTTTTTTTTTCCCCCCCCGCCCCCGCCCCCGCCCCCGCCCCCGCCCCCGCCCCCGCCCCCGCCCTGAAAGCAGTAGTGCTCCAATCTACTCGTGGGGAGCAACACGTGCTGGGAGTTGGGCCCAGTGTCCCATTTGAGAACTGGGTCCGGTCCCATTTAAAAATGTATTGTCAGTTTTAGCACCATCAGGATGACAATTGAGATGTACTATGCCTTTCACTCTCCCTTTGAAAAAAGAAAAGAAAAGGAAAAGCTTGGGTTAACAGTGAATCTACTCATTGACCCTCCCTTTCTCTCTCCTTTCCCTTTCCCCCCTTTCTCTCTCCCCCCTTTCTCTCTCCCCCTTTTCTCTCCCCCCCTCCCCCCCTCCCTCCCCTCCTCCAAAAAAAAAGAAAATTTCAGTCACTAAATCTTCTTCTTCTTCTTCTTCTTCTTCTTCTTCTCCTCCTCCTCCTCCTCCCCATCCCTCCTTCCTTCCTTTTTTATTTATTTATTTATTTATTTTTGGATCATTGGTCGATTTATGTGTATCACAGTATCACTCCTTGTGCACTGACCATGGTAATCTTTTATCTGTATAGTGTATCACTCCTTGCGCAGTGACCATGGTAATTGTTTATCTGTATAAGTCCAAGATATCTCAGCGAGTCAGAGGATATCCTTCGTTTCTTTCTCTGTTTTTTTCTTTTTGGGGAAATTGCACCTGAGCTACCTTTTTAGTTTTGAATAGGCAAGAAAAGACAAAGTGCCGCCGATGTCATCGTTTGAGTTTCAGAATGTGCAAGTTTAGCGGGGGTTTGAAACTGCGGCCGTTTTTTTGAAGTGGTGTGAATGCAGATTTAGCGCTGCCTTTTTTTGCCGTGTGTGCGAGAACTGCTAAAGTCGCCTATTCCAAACTCTACCTTCTTCCCCCGAATAGAACGTACGGTCATTATAGCTGTATCTAGACTGAAAGATGCCTCAAATACAGCTGTAATGACCGTACAATGCGTACATTGTATTCAGGGGAAGAAGGTAGGTGTGACCCAGGAGCCGTTGCCCCTTTTTTTTTTTTTTTTGGGTACTGACCTACTTTTCTTTGGTTGTCCACTCACTGCACTGTCTTGCAGGTCAGTTCTGAGTTGCTGCTGAGCTGAAGAAAACGTATACGGTCCGACTTCGCCAAACAAGGGTACTTTTATGTTTATCTTGCGCGCTGTACGCAAGCGTGAGGAACGGTTGATGCGCCCTAGAGTCACACCAAGCGAGTCTTCTCTGAATGCGAGTGGCACATTGTGTCTATTTTTAGCTTCGTTGAGGATTTGGCGGTCATTTTCGTCATTCCCAACGTATCTTTGGGGAAAAGGGACCTGATTAATAAGAGTCTATTTTTAGCCGTAGATTTCGCAGCGAGATGGAGCAAGAGCGGATTCTTGAGGCTTACTCATCACGAGTTCGGAACTGAATCCACTTTGGCAAGTATGAGATGCATCTAGACCTGATCAACGGCTAGGAGGCTTCTGCTAGAGCAATAATCTGCTTTTATACGGTGCCGGCTCGCACTCCGGAATCATGGAATTCTGGAATCAGAACCCTCTGCTGTTTCTTCAACTATGGGGCATTTTTTTCATCATCGCCGAACAACTGAGTGGTTTTGCGCCGCCGCCGCCTGAAGACACACTCCTTACTCAGGCGGAATGGAAACGACGGCTTAGGTGAGTACATAATTAACCCCTCCCCGCCTTCTTTTCTAACTTGAAGGGCATAGTCAACAGTAGGAACTTATTTCCAACTGAATCGGGCTTCAGTTACGCCCAGATTCGTCTAGAGAAAGTCCTGGTTTTAGTAGGCCCTCATCGTCATGCTTTTCAAAACTTGCCTGCCATTGAAATTGGAAAAGACCGAGGACAGAAGTGAAGGAGAAAGTTGGACAGTGGGAAAGATCATGTGGCAGGAGGAGAAGGGGCTTGGGGAGGAGGGTGAGAAAAAACGTGCTGTGTTGCAGAGAAGGGGGGCCCGGCCTGGAGGAGGGTGAAAAGAAAGTGCTATGTTGAAAGGCATACAGAAGATCGCTGGAGGAGAGGATGTGTCGATAGGATAGCGTTCATTCTCCATCTTCCAATGAATTCGTCTCTATCCCCTCGTCTTCTCTTCCCTGATCTCTCTCTCTCTCTCTCTCTCTCTCTCTCTCTCTCTCTCTCTCTCTCTCTCTCTCT